TATACAGATCGTTTTCCTACAAAATTCAGACTAAATATCTAAATTGAGTTCTTCTCGGGAGGAGGTGGTGCAGCGGTAGCGCGTTCAACTCACATGGCCTGGGTGCGGTTCGAACCTAAGATCGAGCCCCGCCTAGGGAAACCAAGCATCCCACTCCTCTGAGATCATCGGTTGGCAGCATCGTGTGGGAGGATAAGAACAATGATGCACGTCGGCTACCTAACCCACTTCCCCTTGCCCTGGAGGTCGGATAACAGAAAAATCGCGTTTGAAACGTAGGATTCCCTATGGAAATGAATGTGTGGCGTAGTCTAGAGTGATCGATCAGAGCTAAAGGCTTCACCCTTAGTTCTTCCTTGTAGTGTGACTAGGGAAGGTATTGAGGAACTTCAGTCTTGTTCGTTGCGGATGTAGGGGCGTGCCAGTTAGGCTGAGTTTGGCTCTCGGTCAGTCCGTTCTCCTCCAGTTGTTGAAGCGAGCAAGCGACACCAACTAGTGGAAACGAGTGACATGATCGATATGATACAGTTTTGTCGCTTGCTAAACGGTCAAACGAAAAAGGGGACTAGCGCCGCACCAAACCCATTCTTCTTTACACGCCCCATCATAGCGCACAGGACTGCATGATTGACAGATAGCAGGCAACCACCAATAGCAGGCTGGCCCTCCTGCCCCAATTATCCTTGGCACTAAGCGATTGCAGACTAAAAGTGACTACATGATTCTGAAGATGAAAGCCGTAAGGCGCAGGTGTAGTTCAGGCCGTCAGCGATTCCAAGTTAGACAAAGTACAGTCCTCATCATTGCGGACTGTCGGGTCGCAATCAGCGGTTCCCACCTGCGGCCTTCCCACCAGTGGCTGATTCCTTCCTACATCGATCATTGCTCGATCACCATTGGTAGAGCAAGGCAGCCGGACGCGAGCTCGTGCCGCGCTGCGCTCGCCGCCCCCGACAAATTGCAATGTTACAAACTATATCATCCAATACATGGAAACCTGCACTATATCGCTACAAAGAGGATCAATAGCGCGTATAGTAGTTTTGCTGCAGACGCTGGGACATGTCAGGAAGTTTTTGACCAATTGCTGTCGTTTGCCCGCTTCAACGCTTGGTCGCAAACGGGCTGGAGCCATGACAAAAGTAGTCCCGCCTTCCCTCCCCTGAAATGCTCGCCTGAAGCGAAAGCGCCTCTGCTCAATTTCTTAACAGCTAACGTACTAAACTGCGCTACATATGCAGCAATTGCCATTCAGTAACTTACAGAATATCGTAGCAAATTTACAGGTATGATCAATCGGTCGTCAACGTCCTCCTAGCTGACTCTTATTATTACGATAGGCACTATTACTCCAGCGAAATCACAGATTTCTTTCGTATTCAACGGTTTATAACACGTTCAGTAAGAAATCGTGAACTTAGTTGCTCCTAGTTTAGCGCAAAGTGCTTTCATTCCATTACTGGTAACAAATATCGATGTTTCATGTATGATATAGAAGTATTTTATGTTGTTAGGATATATATTTCCTTTGATTGCATCACAGATTTTTATCGAGAATAAAGTCTATTATACAATATGGAGACAGCACAAAGAGAACACTGTTACCAATGAAAGAAATTTCGCTCATTTCTCACAATAGAATCGATAATCGTGCCTAACCAACACAACTGCTAGGTTTTTGTTCTGTAATGGAGATGTGAGGATAGAATCTAGAATAGGTTTTCCGCTTCTCACGCAAGGTCGAACTCTCACAGTTATCGATCACCGTGACCAGCACGTTTATTGATCGGTTTACGTTAACGATACACGTGGTTTTACGACTTCAACCCTTTAGATTGGCTTCCATCAG